CCCCCAAAAAATAGAAAAAATATATTATATACTGCTTATGTGACATTTTTTTGCTTATTTCAAACTTCTTAATTTTGTTCATGTGATGAACATAAAATCATATTTAAAAACTACGTAAAATAATATACCAATTAATAATTTAAAAGGAATATAAAAAGTTATGATAAAAAAAATAACTTGTTTGACTCTTGAAATTCTAACATCGATCCATAAGTTGGTACAAAGGAGCAAGTAATGTGGCCTTGATAGGTGAGAGCTTTCATCAATGTTGTGAAAAACCATGTGAAAAAAAAGACTCAATTATTATAAAAGAAGAAGATTGATATGTGCATTAAAACTATTGTTTACAATCAGACCTATTTTTATCCTATATGCATGTTACACCATGAAAGTTTTCCAATGTGGGACTATAAGAAAAAAAATAAAAAATGTGGGACTATAAACAAAGCCTAAATATATATAACTTAACTATTCTAAAAATATTCATAATAACCCTTTTAACAATGATGCTAAATACTGATTCGTTTCAATTTATGTGAACCTATTTAATTGAGTTTAGAGTTAAAGAAACACTTGTATCGGACACTGGGTAAAACCCCAACCAGGACCAACAAGTCCTAGTACAAAAGTGAAGGAAAATTTGTTACCTGACTTCTCATGTCCTCTTTTTGTAAGGGGTAATCAATCATAAGTAATGCAGATTAGTTCAATATTCATCATCATAACCATAGTGTTGATCATAGTCATATCCTCCAACATCCTCATCGTAACGCATATCCTCATCGTACTGCACAAATGGTTCTTCATAAATCTCGTCTTCTTCCAGAAAAAAATTTCTGCTCTCGTTATGATTGGTGGAATCATCCACATTTCGACTCTTCTTTGGGTTCTGTAGAATTTCCTGTGTAAGTAAAGTAACATGATCAAGAGTTAAACATCTTTTATCGAGATGAGAGCAACAAATGCTTTAGATTTGTGTAATTTGTCCTGTAGATGTTCAAAATTTCAGGGTGCTCCCGGAATTCTCATCTACTTGAGATCCCTACCGGGAGTTGGAGTGATTTCGAGGTTGTAGGTCTTTTTATAATCCTCCAAAGTTAATAATAGGGAAACCAAGGAGCTGAACTAAGATCAGGTCTAATCCGAGGTAGAGAGGCACAATGCAAGTTATAGGTACGGTAAAATTCAGCAACTTTGGCTCAAACCATGTATCCATGTTAAGAAATTCATTTAACATGTACAGATAGTCTATTCAGAGCCCAATAAACTATAGATTCAGTATCCGCTGAATGGAATAGAACAATTTATATGTCGGGATTGGATGAGTGTATTAGGGAGTTGTCAAATGCTTCTCCCAGAACTTTAACAGCAGAGATCATGAGATGAGCAGCAGTGGCAAAGGAAAAGTCTGACAAATCTACAATATTTTGATGCCACATTATTTAGTTTTCATTATTTAATATCCTCCCAGTTCTTGAATATCCAATTATTACGCATAATAGCGTCTCAAAGACTAGCTAACCCCGTCCACCACCAACATCGAACATTCTGCTTATGTTCTTTTCAATAAAGAAAATGATATTCTGGTAAAGGAATTGAGATCTGAGTAAAAATTGAAATTAAAAGCAGGTATATTGGAATTCTAAAGAAATTTTGGAGTAGGAGAAGCACGTACAGAATCATCAAAAAGCTTTTCGAGCAGATCATAGTTGATCTTAGTGCATAGCCTCTGCATCACATGATATAAAGCAAGGTAAGATACAAACAACACAACCAATAGATCTGATAAATATTGTGTCATGCAAAAGAGGAAGGTATACCATGCAATGCAAACATAATACAAAGAGGAAAAGAAATGATTTAAGACCAACAGGAAGAAACCAAAATTCTTCTATGTATTTTACGTAGTTACCTATTCCTACAGGTAAACTGGACTTGCAAGCTTATTTGTAACCCTTATAATCATCCAAATTCAGGCAAAATGTGACAGATACATTGAAATTGAGGAAAACCTTGAGTCTACAATAATAATAGGGACATGCAGGAACATTCATCAAGACTATGAACACTCGTGGAAAAGGTAAGAAACTTCCATAACACAGAGATCCCTGTGAACAGAGTGCTAAAGATTGTAAGTTTCTTTTCCTCTATCATACACATACCTTTCTAGTTAACATTTGCTTCGTTGCTTCAAAAGGGGTTTTAGCAGGACCAGAATTTTTCAGTTCTGCAGCCCTTTTCTGTCGCTTTTCCTGTATATCACAAAGCAAAATGTAAGCTAATTCTAGGAGATCTCGCAACTATTGTGTATGAAAAATTTCACATGCATATGCTATTCTTATGGTAAGTAACTAAAGGAAGAGAAAACATGTTGTAGTCAGTTGGTGTTGTATGTTCATTTTCTTCCAGAAAACCCACATGAGTGCTTGTGGAAAACTATACATTGCCTACAGTTGTGATTGTTTAGCTCAAATCGATTTTGGAGAAATCAATCTGGATTTAAAATTACCAATCTAAGTCTTCAGGCAAAGATATATTACCTTGTGAATGCAAAGTTGGAAGACAAACAATATGCATGGACATAAGACGCATCGGAAGGAGAATGTTGAAAATGAAGCTAGAATCATCAAGAGTGAACGAAGATACGAAAAGAAACTCAAAATTAAGGGGGAGTGTTATAAATATACTTGTGAAATATTCTAGAATTACTAAATGCATTTTGGTGTTATCCATGCGACTTTAGGATATTTTATGTGATTAGGTGCATAACCATTATATTATCTAGGTGCATGATCTTTTTTATTAGTTATATGACTTTTATGTTA